TGGGATAATGGAAAAGAAAATGGAAACTACTATTTAGGGTTTAGGGCTTAGGGATGTAGACCCCTGATTAATAAAACCCCTCCCCTTAATAGGGATTATAATAGGGATCCTAATATTAAGGCCCTTGAAAGGACGGGGTTTATTAATCAGGGGTCTACATTAGGGTAGGTTGGGGGCCCTATAGTTAGTTTCTTGAATGGCTTCATAGGTGGGGGCCTCATATTCTCTTTCATGGCTTCATACGGATATAGGCGTCTCCCTAAATAGAGGAACCCCAGAATAGACCCAACAATAGTAAAATCCTTCTCGTGGGGAGCCCCAAAGGTACCCCTAATCTTGGGAACCCCTATAGAATATGGGGATATAAGGGTAACAAAATGGTGTTAAAACCTACCCCTCAAAGGCTTTCCATGAAAAAACTCCCAAAGGCGAGCCTCTCCGCATAGCACCTCGGCCGCGCCCACGGCCACGGCCACGGCCACCGCCCCCTCTCGAGGACCCCGATTGCTCCTGGATTCAGATGTGGGTTCAGGTACTTTATAGTATATTATATTATATTATAGTATGTTATAATCTACTATAGTACATTCTAATATATTATACTATAAGATACTATAATATACCATAATATATTGTCATATTACAGTAAATTTATAGGATTGAGGGGGACAAGCTATTTTCCACCATGAGTGATCGGTGGCACTGCTGCGTCGGTCCTCATCAAGGCGCACAGTAACCCGCACGTCAGTGGAAATCTCAGAACCTGCCGTTCGTTGGCGCTTTTCCTAACTCTGCTGGGACGTGGTCCTGCACGTAGTCGCGTGCCTGCCACCCAGACAGGGTCTTCCAAACCGCAGTTGACCCAGCAGCCTGAGATGAGGCTACCAGATGGACAGCACGATGCTTGTAGGTGGATACATGCCGGGCCAAGCAGCCACTCTCCTCCTCATCGCCTTCCATTTGTGGGCGATCCATCTGCTTCTTGAGCACTACTCCTGCCCATCAACAGGGCTCCGTTCGCGCTGGGCGCAATGAACTGCGCAGGAGTTTTCTGAGTGGACTCTGGACACCCTGAACAAGCAAGTAAACCTTTGAGGGACATTTGTCGCATCCCGTGCGTCCTTCTCGGTACGGAAGGTTCTCGTACTTTCGCAAGTGATGCGGAGCATCCAGTGGCGCCAGCAAGCCCACCCACTTCAGGTCCTGCAGGGCGTGGATAAAAGAACTACTGTAACTTCAGCCATCTGTCTCACTCATCGACTGTTTCTGCTGAACATCTGTCTCCAGCTCCCCACTGCAAAGTCCTTGTGAACTGGCACAAGCTGCTTTCTCAAATACTGAGGAGTCTCCAGGTATTGCAGATTCCGGGCGAAGAAAGCCATACTGTTGGACACGCCGTCCTGAAAAGAAGCTTCGCTCAAGCGCGGCTTCTACGAGGTAGGGCAGGACTAGTTTCACCGTGGCATCGTAAACAGCCGATGAGACTTGCAGCTCACAGCTTAGGGGGACCCCCTACCCAGTAATAGTGACTATAGGGGATAATAGGGATTATATTAGGGTCCTCTTATATTCCTATTATACCACTATTGCAGGGTGGGGGGCCCTCCTATCTCATAGCAAATGCTGCAAATACAGAACATCAGTGCCTCTTCACTCTCTGCCGCGTCTGATCGATCCTCGAAGATCACCACCTTCAGAGATGTGCAGCGACATGGAAGTTTCCCAAACTGAGAGGTAGCTTTTTCAGCCCTATAGCAAGGACCATGATATTTTGGGATTTAGATTGGGGTCCTCCTATTTGGAAAACTACCACATCATCCGAAAGACACTTTACTGGTGCTTCGGGCCTAAACCCCTTATACCCTAAACCCCTCAAACTCCTAAACCCCTAAAACCCTCAACCCCAAAATGAGCACCAGGAAGACACCCCAGGACGAAAGCCTTGAGGTCTACAAAGTCCTTTCAAAATGAGGGTTGATCTTAAGGTCCATTGCCCAAATCATGTATAGGGTGTAGGGTATAGGGTTTAGGGTTTCGGGTAAAGGTTTAGGGCGTGTAGGGGTTTAGGGTTTAGGGTTTAAGGTTTGCTGTGACTTTCAACGACCCTTCAAGTGCATGGCTGCATGCGAAATGCTGCCATGGCCTGACTGTGGCTGGCCATCCAACACATTCACCCACCCCACGCCGTCTGAGGCAAACCTACTCCTCTTAGGGTTTAGGACCGAAACTCTGTCTGGTCCATCTTGGTCAACAACACAAATTCATCTTAATCATACGTTGTCGTTTCTGAAATGTCTTTTGCTTTCAGCCTGGAAGGCCCCTGGCTGGCAGGCCCCAAGGACCCAAATAATGGGGTTTTAGGGCCCAAATACTATAACATCTATGCTATTTGGGCCCTAAAACCCCATTATTTGGGTCCTCGGACCCTTAGGGTACCTTTGGGAGAGCCGTGCTAGGCCGCTGGGCGCCGGGGCCTTGGCCCTTGGAAGGTTTTGAGCCATCAGCTGGTTTCTTGAAATACACGAATCACTCACCAGTTTAGGCAGGGACGTCTATCCCTTTCGACTTAGATACAACCACAGACAGAACAACTTGCTGGATTTATGAAGTTTCAGGTCTACCTAAACCTTAAAGGAATTCAAAATAATAGCCCTAAACCCATAATAACAGATATCAAGGCAGGTAGGGTCTAGGGAAAATTTGGGGAGAGTGTTCTGGCTCCAAGACTTCCCATCACGTGGCAGGTCGTCAAAATTCTGATCCCATTTGAGTAGTGTTTTTTTGTGGGTGGCTAAACCCAGTAAGATAATATTCCTGATACAAAATACTATACCCAAAAGGAGGATAGAATCTTACTCTATAATTGGTACCATAGTATCCCCAAGTAAAATATTGCTCATTTCGGGTACCCTAAAGCCCTGGAAGGGACCAGATTTTTGAGCGCCTAGACCCTAAACCCAGCGTTCTGGCCTCGTCCACCCCATAGATGGTCAAGGCTCTAGCAACCTGCCCGACAAGGACTGCCTTCAACTCGCCACCTTGCGCGTTTTCCTTGAAAGACGGTTTAGGGTTTAGGGGTTTAGGGTTTAGAGTTTTGGGTTTAGGGCTTGCTTTCCTGCAGCTGTTTAGGTTTAGGCTAGGATAGCTTCGGGGGCCCCGTAAAAATGAGATTCTGGCAGGGGCCATACAAGGGCTATTGCTAAAACCCCCCGTAGGAGAGGAGGGCCTAAACCCCTCAGCCCGAACCCTCAAGCCCTGAAGACATAAACGTGTCGAGGGGTACCTCTAAAGAGGGATATAGGGGGTGACCCTAAACCCAAAACCCAGACCCTAAACCCGCGGTTAAGGGCAGGGTTTCATGCAGGAAGCTCAGCAACACTGCTTGGGCCTCAAGATTGGCAACAGACTGGCATCTAAACGGGAACGAGGAAGGATATACCGGCTGCAATCGGGTTTTAGCTCCTAAGCCCTCAATCCTTATGTACATCCGTGCACACCCCCAGTTTGCAATTGGTTTAGGGTGTATCGTTTCCGGTTCCATGTCCATTCATTTTCTATTTGATTCTCCATTATTCTAGACTCACCTTGATGCCATCGGACTGTCATGGACTAAACCCATAGCCCTAAACCTTAAACCCTAAACCTACACCCTAAACCCATAGCCAAGTTTCCACAATGCTGGCGGGCAATGCAACAGACAGAGTTGTAAGCCTGCCGGATTTCGGCCTTAGACTTGGCTGAAAGCAAGAGGGTTTAGGGTGTAGGGGTTCGGGTTTTAAGGCATAAAGCCTGGCCTCAACCCTACAACCCTTGTGCCCACTGTTGAAAGATTTTGTACGGGGCGGGCACACTGCTAGAGAGTTCCGTTCATGTTCGTGTACAGGTGGCCAGGTAACTGTAGTTTCCTCAGGAACTATTTTTCCTAGTATAACATGTGTAACTCCAAGGCCTGTTTCACATACATATATATATATACATATATATCTCTCTCTCTCTGTCTTTCTTATTCTGGATCAAAAGTCAAGCAGAACTTGAAAATTCTTGTCCTGCTTTTGAGATCCATCACGGCACAAGAGGGCGGCCAACACCGAGCTATCTTTCCACTCCTCTTTGCTGAGCGCTTAGGTCAATCCCCCTTATAGCAATACCTCCTTAATATGGAATTAATAGGGCCTTAATATACCTACAATAACCCATTATTGGGTGGGGGATTGGCCCGACAAAACAAAGCTTGACCCTCCACCAATGCCATCTGCTACCGGCCTGCCAGTCTGGAAGCTTCTAAACCCTAAACCCCTAAACCGTTAAACAGCTCCCATAATTTGGGCTTCGCTTCCATGTAGCTTGCAAGTTAGAACTGAAAAGCTCCGAGCCCCAAAGAGTTCAAGACCATGTGAAGTACATGTGACTGTACAGATGCAGGAGTGCTGCAGCGTTAAACCCCAAACCCCTACACCCCAAACCCCTCAACTCCAAACCGTTGAACCCCAAACCCCCAAACCTCTAAACCCGAAGCCCTAAACCCCTAAACCTCAATTCCGAAACCGTTAAACCCCAAACCCTTAAACCCCTAAACCCCAAACCGTTAAACCCCGAACCCCTAAACCTCTAAACACCCAGACCCCTAAACCCCTCAACCCTTGGACTGAGGCGCGGACTTCAGCATCTGTACTGCCGTAGGCTTGGATGTGACCCCGCGGCCTTGGGAGAGAGGCACAAGAACTTGAACACGCCTATCAGCTTGGGTTTAGGATTTAGGGTTTGGAGTTTAGGGACCATTCTTACCTCCTTAACCCTAGACCCTATACCCTAAACTCCAAACCCTAAACCCCAAACCCGAATTCCTTACCGGCCTAGCCTGGGCCGATCTTCGGCCGGTTCTCCGCTTGCTCATCTGCGACATCTTCCTGCTTCCGCTTCTTTCCACCCATGGCACCGGACACACTGGGAATTTGTATTATCGACTTCGGACCCTTCCAATTGCTTGGGGTGTTTAGGGTTAAGGTTTTAGAGTTTAAGGTCTTTGAACCTCCCATCTTTTTGGAAGGTTTAGGGTTAAGGTTTTAGAGTTTAAGGTGTTTGTTAAGCATTGCTTTCAGAACCTGAAATTGCGCCGATGTGGGACTATGTTCTATGTACAGCACCATTCAAGGGTAGGTCGGGTGAGGTGTTTGTAAGTTGGCCAGGACACAACGCTGGGTTTTATCGTGCCAGAGGTATGCTAGTTGGGGCTTTGGGTTTATGGTTTTGGGTTATAGTTATAGGGTTTGAGGTTTAGGGTTTTAAGCCTTTGGGCAGATGCATGTGGACACAGGAGCTATCCTGCACGGATGAACTTATCAAATGCGGCTGCTCCTACAGGGATAGTCCTAGAGGCCCTATGATATGTTTTACGGCTTCATAGGGAGTTTATAAGGATTATGGTCCATAATCAAAATTGTTCCGAAGAATACCCCAGCCTACACCTGCATCTGCACAGTTTGGAATGGCTCGGCTGTCAGCTGTGTTGACATGGTTCACTGCGATCCAGCTCTGCAACAGGGACTATGACGCACGTATCTTTGTAAGGTCCCAAGCATGGGCCCCCAAGCCCGTAAATATTGACGACCCGCTATATGAGTATACCCTAGGTGTACCCCTATAATCCTTGTACCAATTTCATATCCTAGATGAAGCCCTATAATCCCTGTATGTCTACGATATACCCTAGATGTACCCCTAGATGTACCCCTATAGCTCAAGGTCTTTACTACGCGCCCGGGGTTCCAATCTTAGACTGCAAGACTTGTAATATACCCAAAGCCATCTTCTAATTTAGGGGGACTATAAGCTTGTAACCACCTTCGGGTTTGGGGTCTGAACCCTAAGCCCTAAACCCTCATCAGGAACCGTCTTCCATGGTTTAGGGATCCTAGCCCAAGGGTAACAAACCCTGTGGGTTTCCAAGGAAAACTCTCGGATACACTTCCCTAAACCCTAAGCCCTAAACCCCCAAACCCCCAAACCCCCAAACCCCAAACCCTAAAACCTAAAACCCTAAAACCCTAAACCCTGAACCCCCAAAACCCCAAACTTGTTCAACCCGCATCAGGCCTGGTTTAGGCCAATGGAGACAGATTCATCGGCTTGCGGTATGGTGAGACATGGCAAAGGAATCCCTTCATGATAATATACTATTACATAACTTACATAACTGTTTAGGTTTTAGGGTTTGGGGCAACAGCACACACCTATCCTAATGCCAAATCTTCCCCCATGAGAAACCTATTCATTTGTGTGGGTAGGGGGGGGGTGCTGAGTATTTGTATGAGGGGATTCCTTGACGCCTTTGGGGGCACCAAGCTATGATGAATCCTGTCGGCTCAGTCCTTGAATTTCTCGGATGCGTGCCTGGGCAGTGAACTCGCAAAAGGACACTCGTAAAGGGAGCCATGGGAGGCTTGGGAGCCCTATAAAATGTAATCTGTCATGGTTCTATAGGGTTTAGGGGTTAGGAATTGGATTTAGGGGGGATATATCGGGATTAAGGGCAATAGAGATTTCCAAATATGCTCAAACCTAAACCCTACACCCTAAACCTGATTCCTTGAGAAGCTGTAGCAGGTCAGGGGACTTCACAAGGGAGCTTCAGGCTCTCAGTTTTAGGGTTTAGAGTTTAGGGTTTATGGCAAGGGTTTGCGGCTTAGGGTTTAGGGTAGGCCCGAAAGACAGCAGGGCGGAGATCTCTGGGCTGATGGAAAACACTCTACGAAGCTTTGCCCTATGAAGTCAGGCCACACCCTTGCGGGCTTCTTGTGCGAGATCCAAAACTTCATCTAAACCTTAAATCCTAAACCTCTAAACTCCTAAACCCTAAACCCCTAAACCCTAAACCCTGAAACTCCATGATGGGGTTCTTTAGGATGATCAGCACCTTGTTTGGGGGTGTCCTTAGTATGTTAACGTATTTTGGGGTCCATATTGGGTCCCCCTACTTGTTTAGGGTTTAGGGTTGGGGTTTGGGGTTCAGGGATTAGGGTACCATGAACTGTTTAGGAACTGCACTTTGGAGGTTTTGAGAGGCAATTTCATGGCACCACCAAGTTGGTACGCGCTTGCAGTACAACAGAAGTGATGCGACTGTGGCCCGTGCCAGGTTGGCCCGCCGCCCCCGCAAGTGGGACGCCCCTTCGCCACGGTCTCTCAGCTGCCTGCAGTTGCTTACATGCAGGCGGGTAGATATGCTCATATATGGGGTTACATTGGGGTTATATTGGGATAATGGAAAAGAAATGGAAACTACTACATTATCCTGAGTTCTGCAAGCATCAGCATTTCAATTCACAAGGCATGGGCTGCAGGGGGCATCAATTGTATGTAGCATGTGGGCTGTGATATGAGCTATAGTCTAAACTCCTAGTATACCCCTTAATAACCCCTATAGCAGTCCCCTACGTAATCCTCTAAATAATCCCCTTTAAGGAGTTTAGACTACAGCTCATGTGATAAACCTACGTGACTTTGGGACATGGGTGCTTTCACAGATCTAGAATCTAGGTTTTTCCACCAAGAGCCGGCAATGTTCCTTGCAGCTACCCCAGTGCTTGCTGCAGAAGGTCATGTTGTGTCCAATCCTGAGCCATGCCGAATGACACGGACTGTTTGACTTGCACAACTCGCAAAGCGTCATCAGGGAAACTTGCAAGCCAATGCCGTCCAAGACATTGTCATCATCATCGTCGCCCGAATTCAGGGTGCAAAAGGGCGGGGAGTGGGGCTTAGGGTTAAGGGTTTGCGTTCTATGCGCAATGTGCAGCTATGGCCTGACTGTGAAGGCAATCTCCTTCATCAACCACCTCATGCCGTCTGAGACGGCCAAGCCACCCAGACCCATCCCTTTAGCGTTCAGGCCGAATTAAACTCCGTTAGGTCCATCTTGGTCAACAACACAAATTCATGTTTACCTCCTGTCTCATGGAGCCTCCAGCCGGTCTGCCCCTGTGAGGCCCTTTCGAAGCCCCTGGACTTCTATAGTGGTTACTAAGGGTGATTATATAGGAGATTACTGTAGGGGAGTACATAGGGGCTACTAAGGGGGATACTGAAGGTCATCGGTCTTGCTTGACGGTCACGAAGCGCCCTTGTTTCGACCCCCCACGCCCACAGCCACCAACCAACAGGCCAGAGGCACATGAGCTATATTACAGTCTAAAATCCTAGTATCCCCCTTAGTAGCCCCTATGTAATCCCCTACAGTAATCTCCTATATAATCACCCTTAGTAACCCCTATAGAAGTCCCCTATATGATCCCCCATAGCACCCCCTTCTAAGGAGACTCGACTCTAAACTCTAGAGCCCTAAATGAAGGGCGCTATGTAATCCCCTATTTAACCCCCTTTAAGGAATCTAGACCCTAGACCCTAAACCCTAAAACCCTAAATGAATGGGGCATACTAATCCCCTACTTATCCCTAAACCCTAAACCCTAAACCCCTAAACCCTAAACCCTAAATCCTAAACCCTCAACTCTAAACCCTTTTAAGGAGTTTGGACTATAGCTCACATGGCCCGGGACCTTGAAGCTTGGCCGAGGGCCTTGGAGGCCCCTGAGAAGGCGCCCCGTACTGGTCGCGAGGAGAACAGGTTCCCGGTTTGGGGCTTAGGGTTTAGAGTTTAGGGTTTAGAGTTTAGGGTTTAGGGTTTAAGTTTAGGGTTTAGGGTTTAGGGATCTACAAGTTAGACCCCTAGAACCATCGGGGAAGGTGTCAAAGGATTATATAGGGGTTATAATGCGTCTATATAGGGGATCTGATTTGATTTTCAGATCCTCCCAGGCGTCTGGGTTCCGGTACCGGGCCTAGCGAGGGTGCCACCGTACACGTGGCTGTGCTGAGGCAGGACCATTTACTTACTGGAGGTTAGTCGGGAAGACGGGAGTATAATGCAAAGGGATTATATTCCGTGACTCCCTCCTAATTACCAGTAAGGTTAGGTTGACCTGTCGCCATCGAGGGCGAAGGGCTTAAGCGCCGCCTACCATCGCATGAGCGGCCTGTGCCTTGAGTTTTAAATATGGTCTGGGGTTTAGGGTTTGGGGTTTAGGGGCTGATACACCTGTCCCGAAGATGCACAGCTTCCTGGCCTCTCAACGTCACGAGGCTGCCATTTCCAACCTCATGCCACAGGCAGATATGTACCCCTACATAAGTTTAGGGTTTAGGGTTGAGGCTTTAGGGCTCAGGGTTATGTAACCCCCATATCCCTTTTACAGGGACCCAGAACTGTCCGAGCGCTTTACGCACAGGCGGCGCCACCTGACACGTGCCAAATGCTGACATCTGTCCCCCGATGCGATTTGGGGTTTAGGGTTTAAGGTGCATCATAACGACCACGGCAAGGATCAGGCAGAATAGCAGGAACCATCAGAACAAGAATAAGGACCATAATAGCAGCAGTCACAAAAATAACGCAACACTATTGACCAGAATAATCCAAATGAGAAACTGATACGAAGAATACAACTGTTCTGAGAGCAAACATCTGCCTGCATCTCAGCACCGCTCCAGCGTCGGCTGCTCGACGCTCCTGGAAAGATCTCCCTAGATAAGCCAATGTCTAAACTCCTCGTATCCCCCTTAATAAGCCCTATAATGGTTCCCTATATAACCCTCCTTGGAAGAATTTAGACTTTAGCTCAATGATGCCTAGCTTCCGTTGCTTCTGCTATTTTGATTTGATTCTCCGCTGTTGGCCCAATACCTCCTAACCCCAGCTAAGCTCCTTGAGAAAAATTTCAAAGCTCCAAGCTACAGGAGCTGCGTCATCCTCTCGTTTTCACACGAGTGAGCTTTAAGGCCTTCTTCACATGAGCAAAAGAAGGTTTACCAAACTGGGGGTACCCTTTTAAAGGTTCCTATGATGAATCAGGGGTTTTATTTGTGGTCCCTGTTTGTGGAAACTACCAAATGCCACCCAAAGGAGAAGCCCTAAACCCTAAGCCCTAAACCCTAAACCCTAAGCCCGATTCGTTGCGGCCATGCTGCCTAAGCTCCCGGGCGACCTGGGTTGTTTGGTTGTCAAACATGGGTTTAGGGTTTAGGGTTTTAGGTTTTGCACTTGCGGAAGCCAAACACTGGGGGTTTCCTCAAGAGGTAGTGGAAATATATTGGGATAATGGAACAGACAATGGAATCTACTATTTAGGGATGTGGCTCTCCGAAAATGAGGGGTCCTCTTTGGGGTTTCCCATGGTCAGGATGATAATATTTTGGAGCTGATTTATGGAAACTACCACTCTGCCACACATGCTGAAAACCGTGATGCTAGCCCATGGTATGCAAGTTCCCGGGCCTCACAGCTTCCACAAAACCGAAAAGTTGGAGTTGAAGGAAGGATCCTTAACCCTAAAGACCCCTTAAATAACCGTAAACATCCCTAAGCCCTTAACCCTAGAAATCCCTAAACCCTAAACCCTTAACCCTTGGTCCACAAATCCTCAAGTTCTAAAGTTGAAAAAAGAACCCTAAACCCTAACCCTGAGGTCCGCATATCCTACAGTTGTTGGAAGGACCCAAAGAGAGCATAGCTCCCTGAACCCTACACCCCTGGGGCTTCCATCTCATTTTCCATTGTTCTTTTCCATTTGATTCTCCATCATTGGGGGTAATATCCCTAAACCCTAAACCCACAAACTCTGAAACCCCCTAAAACCCTATATAACCGTAGAAAACCCCTATATAATATAATAGTTTCCATCTTAGTTTCCATTAACCCAAAAAGTCTTAAACCGGCTCTTAGGCTACGGCGGAGTGCGCGTGGAGGCAGAAGAAGATGGAAGGGACATGACCAGGCTTGGCGACGTGGCACCGGAAACAGGCCGTGCCTTTCAGGTTTAGGGTTTGGGGTTTGGGGCTTGGGGTTTTAGAGTTTAGAGTTTAGGGTTTAGGGTTTGGGGTTTAGGGTTTACAGTTTAGGGTTTGGGGTTTGGGGTTTGCGGTGGGTTTAGGGTTTGGGGTGAGTTTAGGGCTTTGGGTTGAAGGTTGCGAAGCTTGCCCGACGACTCTAAAGGGGGTTTCCCAAAATTCCTGGTCACTTTGAAGGGGGTCCCTGTAATAAGAATTGTGGTGTTTGGGGGTTTATAGTGAGGTCCCCCTAGTTTGGAAACTACCAAGTCTCCAACCATTCGTCAGCCGACACAGGAATGCCCCGTGCCCAGGAACATCTAAAGATCATAGGGCCTGCTCTCCTCGGCCAACAACCCACAAAAAGCCCCACTTCCTGGAATATACTGTACAGTCCATGATACTGCCATCCTGAAAATGGCTCAAGGGAGAGGATGCCTCAAGCCTAAACCCTCAACCCTAATCCCTGAACCCAAACCCTAAACCCAAACCCTAAACCCTAAACCCTCAACCCTAATCCCTGAACCCAAACCCTAAACCCTAGACCCAAACCCTAAACCCTCAACCCTGAACCCTAAACCCAAAACCCTAAACCATCAACCCTGAACCCTAAACCCAAACCCTAAACCCTCAACCCTCAACCCTGAACCCTAAACGCAAACCCTAAACCCTCAACCCTGAACCCTAAACCCAAACCCTCAAAGGGGCATTGGGCTCCCAATCCTCTGTTCGGCCTCCACGGCTCGCGTCAAGTTCTCCGAGCCTGCAGCCGTTGCTTTTCAGAGACCAGCTACCCCTTGATCGAGGCCCAAATCCCCGTTAAGTAACCCTATGGTTTGGGGTTTAGGGCTTATAGTCCTCCTTTAGTGGATCTTATTATAATATACCCGAAGCCATATTCTATCTACTTAAGGGGGACTATAAGGCCTATACATCAATGAAAAACATACTTCGGGATCAGTGGCAAAGATTAATTGCCAGCAGCACCATGTAGCAGTCAAGAAAGGGCCTCGGATGTGAGGATAGCCGCGCTCCTCATTGCACCAGCTGTTGAAGTCTGATGTCTAGGCATCCAATGGAAACGAAAGCGGAACCATTCGCCTGCAGAATGAACCCTAAACCCCAAACCCTAAATGACATTGATTCGTAGGCTGCTGACAGTTGTACCCTCAGCAGAACTACTTGGAGCTGCGCTGCCTGTGCTGCAAGCTCCAGGGACCTGAGATTCCATTATGGGAGAATAGAGGGATAAGAAAAAGATTCAGGGTTTAGGGCTTAGGGATAATATGGGGGCAATATAGGGATGATGGAGGAGAAACTGGAAACTACTCTAATGGGGTTCTATAAGGTTAAGGGTTTAGGGTTTACGCTTGAATCTGCGGCCTTTGCGTTTACTGGCGCTCACAAAATCATAGACAAATGTGTGCAGAGCCTCTCATTTTTGGGCGCCTGACATGAAGGTCTCCCACGTTTCTGGTGCCAAGCCACAGCCTCTGAGAAAATGGACGACTACTGACATAAAAATCCCATGAGGAACACACCAAAATAAGATCTGGATCGTATGCAAAAAGAAACAATCAGAAAACCATCCAGAGATCTCCGCAGCGGTTGAGTAACTTGCGCCCGAAGAGAGTGGCTCTCGTCTTCACACCCGAATCACCGTGTGCACCACAACACATCAGCCTGGGAACACATTATAACTCCTAAACCCTCTATATGCATACATATATATATATATATTATATCTCTCTCTCTCTCTCTCTATATATATATGTGTGTATATATGCATGCCTACATAACCCCAGCTTCCATTTCCCTTTCCCTTTTCCTTTCCACTCAATTCTCCATTATGAGGAAAATATTCTCATGTCGTCCCTCTATAATCCCCCTGTGCCCCTCTATAATCCCCGTTTGCCCTTATACAACCCTGCATAATCCCTATATAACCACTACGTTGCCTGAGGCTTCAACTCAAGGCCTCACTCAAACAAACCCCAAACCCTAAACCCTACTTAGGGTTTAGGGTTTTAGGGGTTTAGGGTTTAGGGGTTTAGGGGTTTAGGGTTTAGGGTTTAGGGGTTTAGGGTTTAGGGTTTCCATCTTATGTTCCATGATCCGAATATAACCCCAGTAAAACCACAATATAACCCACCTGCCTCAGCAGTGACTCCACTATTATTGCCCCAAGAATGGAGAATCAAATGGAAAGGCATCGCAGCTTCTGTAGGGTTCAGGGTTTAGGGTTTAGCGAGTTTAGGGTTTAGGGCTTATGGCTTAGGGCCGGAGAAGGGAGAATGAAATGGAAAAATGAAAAGTTCAGTGGAAGCTGAGGATGTTATGGGTTGTATAGGGTTGAGACTAAGCGTCCTGCAGGGCCTTAAACATACTGTAGTACCACAATTCTTAAGGTTTAGGGTCTTTAGGGTCATGCTTCACTCTATGGCCTTTGTAACCCCTAAACAACCAACCCAAAGCCCTAAGCCGAAAAAGCTGAAACCCTAAGCCCTAAACAACCGTAAGCACTGAACAAGCCTTAAAACCCTAAACCCTGAACCCTTCCGAAACCCTAAACCCTAAACCCTAAACCCTAAACCCCCTGAGTAAGTAGGGGTCCAGACAGTGATGCATCGCGAGCGGCCCGTAGTTCATCAGGCAAGCCCTAGGCCAGAGGGGCTTTAGGGTTTAGGGTTCAAAGGGATTGTAGGGGATGCATATATTATACAATATGTAGGAGGTATAATAGGGATGTATGAGGTATCCTTGTAGCTTCTGGGAGTTAGTATGGGAACTACCTAGGAATATCGGGCGTATGTAAGGTTATGTAGAAAAGCGTCCATTTCATTTTCCACATTTTCCATTTAATCCTCCATTATAGTCCTCAGGCCCGTATTACATATACATATACATATATATGCCCCTGTTAAACTCCCGGTCTCCATTTCATGTCCTACTTTCCGTTCGATCTGATTACAGATTACACGCAAAATCTCAGAACCAGTTGGCCTGGATGTGCGGATGCGGCCGCTGCGTTCCCGGTACCCTTGGCACACAGCGCAGCTGGGTGTCTCAACCACATGGGCCACCTTGATGCCACTTAAAGGTCTGCATGCCACATGCAGCTCCTCTTGTGAGGTTTTAAGCAGGTTTCAGCTATCAGAACCTCCGGATCAACCCAACCCAACATCTCCTAAAATCTAAACCCTAAAACCGAATTCCTAAACCCTATACCCTTAACCCTAAACCCTGAATCCGAAATCCTAAACCCTAGACCCTAAATCCTAAGCCCTAAACGCTAAGTCCTAAACCCTGCACCCTAAACCATCTATCCCATCTCAAAAAAAGCCAGCCCCCTCCAGCCTCGGAGGTCGCTGCACAGGGGGTGCCGGGGCGAAATTCGTCTGGCAGGGGTTTAGGTTTTAGGGTTGCAGTGCTGCAGGAATGAAGATGAAATGGAAACTATGGTGGGTTTACAGCTTGTTTTATGGAACCTTTTCTCTTAAGGGGTTTAGGGTTTGGGTATAGGGATTGTCTACGGATTACGTACTGATACCCCTGCAATGGAAAACCAAATGGAAAAGAATATGGTAAATGAAATGTAACATAGAGATAAGTTAGGTCATCCCCCCTTACAGTAATCACTTCCCCCTATTAATAAAAACAACCCCTAATAGTAAATAATAAATCCCGGGCCCTAAAAATTCCTCATGAGCA